AAGATAATGATGCCACCTCTTGTCCCTCGTGCCTCTAGTTGTGCATATTTCACTTTTCTATTTGCCCATAAATCTTTTACAATCCTGCTTATATCTCCCTTGATTTTTGACTCCTGGAAACAATATACATCTGCCCTCCATTTATTCATCAAGTTTTTGATTTGCAGCCTCTTACTTGGATCATTGAGGCCCCTCACATTCCATGAAACTATGTTAACCTTCATTTAAATCGTCTATAAAGCAACCCCCCCTACTCCTTGTTCCATAGCTCACAAAATTACTCTTTGGTTCCAAATTCTTGAGTTAGTTCGGGACCTTTCCTACTGGAGTTATAGGAACTATGGCTCCCACGCCCTTCTCAATAGTTTGTCTCTTATTGTCGATCGCCATGAAGAGGTTCAAGGCCACTTCTTCGCATCCAATGAAATGTACCCCAAATTCTTTGCTAAGTCTGATTATATTTTGTTGGACCCATGATGAAATTTACAAGTAGCTTTTATAAATGTATAACCAGCACCAAGAGTGTGCTGGTGCGGTGAACCAGTTATAATGTCCTGTTAGTCATAATAGACTATGTAAAGACTCTCTACATCCTGCGTGACTTCTACCTCAGCCATGTTGTCCGAAAAAAGAAAGCAAAAGCATACATATGAACTTGGGACTAGGATATTCTCCTTTTGTCTTGAAAAATTCTAGAATTCCTCTCTTTCCAAGTGGTCCTCCAAATAGTAATAGGGAAGGTATTTTATAGTCGAGTTTGGATAGCCACACAAATGTTATGCCATATTTAAGACAACAAGTTTCAAAAATTCTATAGCGACACAAATGTTGTCATATTTTAGGCACAAGTTCCAAAAGTTTCACCATCTTTCATAAACTCCATGCCAAGTCAAACTAAGCCTAAGCCATTTAAATTGAAACAGGGAGAGTACGGAAGTCAAATTAATATCTTAATCTCCGAGTAAAAAAAGTACTTACTCATCAGAAAATGTTTCTTTTTCAATATAGACAATTTAGCAAACAGATCTGTCGACTGAGTCACAACATATAGTGCACACAAATGCCAAATTCAGAGAGAAGAGTGCATACCAGCCGGTGAGCTTCATCCAAGTCAAAAGCAGGACCAATGGAAGCAATGACAAACTGGGGCCGAATTGGACAAGCTAAAACTTTGTCAATAACATCATTCACAGCAACCTACACCAAAAATTGAATTCCCACTCAATAAATTCATATAATAAACACTAAAAAAGATACTGCCTTGGTTCCAAAATAGTTCTCCTGTTTGGTTTTCTGAAGTCCAACAAACTGATTTTGTTATCAAATTTTAACTATTTCCTTTTATCACTTCTCTTTTTTTTATAACCATGGTGTCCGAGTCAACTTGACTGCATCTCAACTAATTCCACTGAGTACTTTCTATTTTGCACCAGCACACGTACTGGATAAATGTGTCCACCGACGCTGGCTTGGACAGAAGGGGAAAATCACCTAGTGTTGTTGCCTCCTCTGGGATTTATAAATAAATTCAAACTCTTAAACATAAATTACTCCCTCTGTCCCAGAAAAAAGGTCAGGTTTGGAGTACGAGGGTCAATTCCTATAACTTATTATGTGTATTCGGACGCCAATTTCTTCACTTTTTTCAATATAAGTAATACTTGCATATTCAAAAATACTGTAAGAAGTACTCCAAGTCATAATTATTATAGTTAAAAAGAGAAAAGGTTCAAAAATGGCCTTAACGTATCACAAATGGTTTTAAAATGCCCTCCTTCCACCTATAAAAATTCCCTCAACATTCCTTTTAAGGTCTAAAAATAGCCCTTTTTTTAACAGCACAATGACGTTGCATTGATGAGTCATTTAATGAAACAAGTGGCTTCATCTTATTGGTTCACATAAATTTTAAAATCAAATCTAACTATCCAACCCATCTAAGGTAAAAGATCCAAACCCACCTACAACCCATTTTTTTCAATCTATGAACATCTCTGTTTTTTCCTTGTCTAAGAGAAGAATAAGGAACCTTTGAATTTTTGGTTGAATTTCTATGGAACAGCCGGCAGTTAAACTGCCTTCCTGATTTTCTGTTGTGTTTTCTTTAAGACTTGAATATTTATGATGTTCATGAACGAGCTGGAGCCAGAGCGGAGAGGATTTCAAGGCGAGGGATTGGAGTCTTTTAATGGTACTTATAGGTTCAATATAGAATTTCTGTCGAGGCATGAGAGTGGTTTCCGGTGGCAGAATGGCCCATGGCTGCTAGGGGGTTGTTGATTATTTCTGCTGCAAGAATAGGCCTGTTTGGAAGTTCAACACAATGATGGAACAATTGGTAGAGGTGGAGAAAAGATGATTGATAACAAGGAAGGGTGTTTGAATCCTTGTGAATTTAAAAAAAAAAAAAACGGGTTAGTTGGTGGATTTGAATCTTTTACCTTAGATGGGTTGGATAGTTAGATTTGATTTTAAAATTTATGTGGACCAATAAGATGAAGCCACTGGTTTCACTAAATGACTCATCAATGCTATGTCATTGTGCTGTTAAAAAAGGGTATTTTTAGACCTTAAAAAAACATTGAGGGCATTTTTTATCTAATAGGTGGAAGGAGGACATTTCTAAACCTTTTCCCTAGGTAAAAACAGTTGAAAAAACATAATCGAAAACAAATAGACTCTTCATATAGTATTCAGACACCCAGCTCTTCACTTCCCCAATATAAGTAATACTTGCATATTCAAAATTTCTTTAAGTACTCCAAATCATAATTCTTATAGTTAAAATAAGTAGGAAAAAATACAATCCAAATCAAATTGACTCTTCAAATAGCAGTAGCACCATTTTCCAGACCTAACGAGAGTGACATTTTTCCACACCCAAGGGTGTCTCTTAGTGGTCAATAAAGTGGATTGAGCACCATGAGATCCCAGGTTCAAATCCCAGAAGCAAAAACACTATGGGGTATTTGGCCATCAATTTTTTTTAACCTTTTTTCAGAAGTTGTAGTTGAATTCCGAAATTTGAAAAACAACAAAAGGTTGTTTTCACTCCAATTAGTATTCATGATGAAACACAACTCCAATTTTCAAATACTATCATTTTTTCACTTTGAAAGCAAAAACTACTTTTTCAATACTCACAATTTTCATGGCCAAATGCCCATGGGGCAGAGCTAGGTAGCCTTGAGAGGTTCATCCAAACACCATTCGAAGGGTAATTACACTTCTTATACGCGGTTAAAATTATTTTTTTCATTTGTTTACTTATTCATGAAAATTCTAGCTTTGCCACTGAAACGCCCTTGGTAGACAGAGTTACCTAGAAACTGCATGTGGGAGGTGACAGATATCTCGTGGAACTAGTCTAAAGAGAGTGACATTTTTTCTAATTAGGTCAACCAAACGATTAGCCATTCGAAACATAAACTAAGACAAAGAGATTATATGCTTAAATTTTGAGTTACACATATGTGAAAATAGAAGAACCTGAAGAGAAGGATCGAGTGAAACAGCAGAAGAGAGCTTTGGAAGAGAAAGGAGGCGAGTGATGGTAGCGTTCCACGAACGGCTCACACATGCTGCTGCTGCACATTCTACTGCTGGTAGTTTTGAGAAGATGTTGAATAGAAGGTCTTCTCCGATCATATCAATCGTCGCCGGCGATAACGCCGTCGCCGGTGGGTTCTGCCTTGGTTTATCCATTTTCTGAACTGAAATCCCCTCGACGTAATGGTTTTGTGTGTTTTCAGTGTTCGGCTTTTAGCATTTTGGTCCTTTAATTATTGGTAAATCTAATTCTAGTCCATATAAATTGTAAGTATGTTTTTTTGGTCCTCTTGGTATGCAATATGTTTTTATGCCAGTGGCGAATGCGCTAGCTAAGAAGGGCTCTACAACAAAATTTTGTTTTTGAGAATATCATTGTTTTAGATGGATCATCGGCATTTATACTGCAATCACTTATTGCAGATCAACAAGGTGATGTAACACATCGTCTGCTTCCATATCAGACGGCAAATAGGACTAGTAATAGTTTAGTATAAGCATCTATGACTAAAAATAGTAATAGCACATCTAACATGTAGCCTTCGTTTTTGTAGTACTGACCCTTCTAGTACAGTTAGGCCTTTGCCTCTTACTTGTAATGCCTTATAGTTTAATATAAGTTTAATCTTTTTGTGACCAACAGAACACTATTGAGCTTACATAATTTTATTTTATTTTTGTTTTCATTTAGTGTTTGGTGCTCACCTTTAACATGATGATTGAATTTGTATGGTACATCCGCTCTTAAAGAAAAAGTGTTTTTTTTCTCAAAATAATGTCTATAGGTTATCACTAATTCTCATTGAGTGTGACCGAGTTTAGTTGATGGTTGGTAGGCAACGTTCTTCCCAAAGTTGTCGAGTCTGGGGTCTTCTTTCACAAAATTAAGAAGAAAATCTCATGCAAGGAACTTACGTACCTTATCACAATGAATGGTAAGCAGTGGTGAATCCAAAATATAAATAATAAGTGGAACACAAGTTGAATTTTGAACAATTCGATTATGGTATACAATACAACTTTTATCAAACAAGGAAAAAATTTGATAATCAAGATAGAATCATCATATAATCATTCAAATAAGGGTGTTGCTTTTTTCCTAGGTGATTCCAACTTGATGAGATACGAAGATAAGAATGTATTTACAATCAACAACATACTCAATATAATATCACAAATATGGTCAAAAGAGGATAGGATATAAATAAACCTTACTTCTGCCTTTATGGAGTAGAGAGGTCGTCTCCGAAAGAGGAGAGTTCATTTAAGTAACTAAAATTACAACATAACAATGCCAGAATGGCTTTTGAAATATGTATAGGAGACATTTGCCCTCTACCACCAAATTCCAACACCAAAAAGTACAGAGCAATATCCTATTCAAATCACCAAAGATTTTTTGCCACTACCCATCAGGCAACCAGATTGTCAAAGGCAATGCCAGTTAAGCTCTAATCTTCTGGCAATGCAGGAGGAGTATATGACATAACAAGGTAGACGGTGCTAAATTCGTGCAAACTGCAACGTATACAGCTTTGTCCTTTAGACTCCTTTACGTAGAAGCTATAATCTCCATGTGCAATTTCTCCATTACAATAGGTTCCTGAGAAGGTAACCCCAGGGAAATTCTCCAAGAAAGGTGAGGCATCTACATTAGGTTCACCGAAAAATAACTTTCCACGACCATAGCAAGCGAACATCATACCACCAAAAACAGACTTCTTATGCATATGCATGCTTCCATTGCTATTAGAATGATCATCATTTTTTAGGTGGTTTAGATCCTGCTTCAGAAGCTTCATGTCGTTTGAAACATCGTTGCAAGAAGCATATGCCAAATCAGGATTTGCATGGTAAAACTGGAAGGAGTCAAAATCACTGATACCATCACCATGGACATAGAGATACTCGTTATCACCTCTGCAAATTCATATAATTAGTTACAGAAGTAGAGAGAGAGAGAGAGAGAAAGGACGAGGAAAGGCAAAAATAGTTGTAAAGACAGCAGTTTCAACTACGACAACAATATGCCCAGTGTGATCCCACAAGTGGGGTTTGGGTAGGAAGGGCTGTGTGCAAACGTTACCCTACCTTGTGTGAGAGAGAAAGGTTATTTCTGATAGACCCTTGGCTCAATAAAAGCATTTTCAAAAACAGATTCAACAAATACAAGTAGAAAAGAAAAGTACCAGCAGTAAAAATAATAAAGATATCCAAACATTAGTTATACAATTGAAAATGCTTTTCCATGTTTGCAGAAACAAATTCAGTTGAGGAGGACTCCCCATTCTCTCCATGAACCATGGAAACTTCCTAGAGAATAAACCTTCTATCTGCATGCTTTTACACATCAAACATCTCAGGATGGAATTCATGCATACATGTCCAAACATCGTAGAACAATCAAACATCATAAGTGAAGGCCATAAGGATAATCAAGCTCGATGTTGCATTAATCACCTTAAAACCAAATAGAATTCATGCATACACATCGAACTTATGCGAACATCCCCAAAAGTGCATCTCCTCGTCTTTGCAACTCCAACATAGAGAGTTCGAGAATGGGTATGATCTCCCAGCTGGTGAAATCAAATCATTGAAAAGAAACATCAATTCAAAGAGGAGTGAATTATGTTCAAGTGTTTCAAACACACACATGAAGGAAGATGTATACTAGGAGAGAAATTTCATCAATTAGACAGCTTCTAAGTTCTAAATAAGTATGATTAACTTTAAGATTATGCTTTATAGCAGATTATTAAACCATAAAGAATTATTTTTTTTAAAAAGCAATAGTTTAACAAAAGTGATTTCATTACTGCTTCTTATTATGCTATACCTTGTGTAACTGTGCATGTCAATCATGAACATTCTTCTGTAAATTCTTTTATAACCTTAATTTGCGATGGTCAAAAAAAATTTCTTTAGTTTCCAATAGAATTTGAAAATCAGTCGGACAGCATGATCAACTCTAAGTCTCTAATCATCCAAATATGTCCAATCTGCTATAATGCATCTCGTTAAACCCATTGTATACTCTTCCCTGCTAAGTGAGGCAAGAGCAACAGAGTTCTGACATTTGATGAATCCACGCATTACTGAACTTAAAAGACTTCATTATGATGGAAGGAATCAAAGGGAAAAAAACAACGAGACTAGTTACACCACAAAATTTTGCAAGTATTTTGGTAGTTGCCTTTCTAAACAAACCAGCTATAAATTACTTCCTTCAGAAACTAGCTACTTAACTTTGGTGCTGAAACATTAAACCCAATTTACTTCAGAAGATGAACTATCTTACTTCATCATAAATCTGATCTAAAATCGTCTCACCATCCAGATAAAAATCAATGCCTTTTGTTCTCGCCATGAACTGAGTAGAATTGTCACGAAATTTCGCCTCAACATTAACAGCTTTGTATATAGGCCCAATTGGTGAAACGCCAGTAGATAACATTACATGAAACTGAGTTTCCCCAACACCTGTTTACCGGGTCCCAAAAAATGATTTTCTCAATAAATTCCCTGGATATATAATATGCTAAATTACCTACATATACGGAAATATTAAGTAGAAGACAAATCTAATCATCAATATATTTATTGATATTTGTGTAAATACCCATATATTTATGTGTATTTATTTAGTGGTTTATGTTGATGATATCATTATTACCGGCAATGATCAGGTCTTTGTTAAGGATGTTATTTCAAAGTTAGACATCATAGAATTCTTGGAGTAGGCGCAGAAAGCTATGATTTGTGGTTTTTTCGTAATCTGTAAAGATGGCCTAGCAAAGCCTTTGTGCTACACATATATAATATTGTTACCTTTCTCAAAAAAAGAAAAAAGAGAAGAAGAGGATCAATTGATTATGTTTTCTTCCTTCCCATCTCTCTTTCTATTTTATAATTAAGTTGAGGAATAGAACTAGCTAACGATTGAGATGTACTTGAATTGGTAAGTTCATATTATTCCACAAAGATGTTAGCACCAAGCTGATCAAAAGTTGAGTTTGTGATGTGCCTCAAATATTGTGGAATCACACCCCAATATATCAGACTAGCATTGGTGGCAAGATTCTCTCCTACCCGAATGCCTTATAAAGCAGTGCTCTTGTTATTGAACAAACAGGATAACAATATGAAACCACAAAGTCCAGTCAAGAAGCAATTCATACCAGGAGGTTTGTTTGTATCCCTTGAAAACAGAAGAGCTACAGCAGCTGAACTGGACTCTCTGTTATTAAAACGGTTACTTATTGTTCCATCTTGGTATAAAAAACGAGAACCCGCATCACCCACAATGACAGTCTCTTCGGTAAAAGCATAATCTACAAAAATGGGGCACTGAAAATAAAAGTTCTTTCTCATAGAATCAAGTAAGAAGAGAAATTTGGTTCCATAAAAGTATATTGCATAGATGAGAACTATGAAGCTCACTCACCCAACTTTGCAAGAACCGGTTTGATGTCAATGTCCTTGTCCTAGAACAACATTCAAATGAATTTAATTACATTCTCAAGTAAGAAAAAGAAGGTTGTTCCTAGATATTTGAAAAGCAAAAACTTCAAGTGTCTCTCAAAGTTCATTCAGCTTTCCAAAGACAAAATTAAATAAATAAAAGAATATTCTCCCTAGCAGCTTAAACTTTTAGATGAACCTGTCACACACTTCAATATGGTATTAGAGCAGGCATAGGTCCTAGGTTCGAGTCTCACCACCACTCATTCTCAAAAAGAATATCTCGTGCTTGGCCAATCAAATAGAATTTTGCATGCACACAAAGGGGTGTGTTGAAGACAAATATAAATAAATAAAAGTGTACTTTCTCTTAAATGAGTTGGTCACACACTTCAATACAACTTTTAATCCGGCCCACTCTAAAATCTAAATTGATTAGTCCAGACACTCAAACAGAACCTGAATTGCATGAGGTTTAACTTTATCCACAATTTAAGGAAAATAAGGCATCACCACTTTGACAAGTAGGGAATAAACTGTTTTGACAAAATGAAAGGTCTTAAGAGACTTGAGACTTACAGAAAATAACAAAACTCCCATTGGTGATGATGCAGAACGAGAAAACGAGAGGTCCGTGATACTCCTCATGAAATCATCAATCAAGAGTACCTGAAATTTGTTCTCCCCAAGTTAGTGTAGCCCATTTTAAATCAAGTTAGCACAAATTTTCAACTAGATATAAACTATTCATATCCTTCAAAATTCCAAGTAGGAACTTCATAAATTTGAAACGAAAATCAAGTTAAAAAGTGGAACTTCAGATTTCTCTAAATAAAGGCAGACATATTTGTAAAAATGTTATGGTTACTTGAGTAGAGGATTACCCGAGCCCTTTTTAATGGGATTAAATCAACTATTAATCCTGGCAAGAAACCAACAGTCACTAAAACACCCTCGTCCTCATTACGAAGATCCTCATGAGCCTGGTTATCTTTCATGGTGTTCCACTGAACCTGGAAAAACATCATTTTCCCCACGTCAATTCTAGTTAAGAAGAAGTCAGAATGCAATCCCAAGCAGATTCTAGCCTATAACCACTAGATTTACCTCTTCAAACTGGTTAGTGTTAGCATCTTGCCCAAAAATTCCATAAGATATCGAAGTGATAACTGGAATTTGGCAACCGAATCTACCAGTAATCTGCAGAACAATATGGATCCATAAGCAGCACATATAGTTTATTCCAATGTGTGACAATTCAATACATTGAATGGATGGTTTTATTAATATCTCTAGTTTAACAAAGTACAACATTTCAATTGAAGAAAAATAAAAGGGCCCTTTTTATTCTGATTGTTTTGCATATTTTAACTTTCTAATCTTCATATTGATTGCCTCCATATATTAAGTAGTTCGCATAGATCGATTATAGGCTTGCTTGTGCCTAAAAAGATATTGTGTATGAATCACTCGATAACTATGCTCAAAGAACTAGGTGAAAATCTTCTCTCATGACTGCCCACATAAAATAATACCGGTCTTTCACTTTTGTGTTGCATCAGGCAAACACATTTCGAAAGTGATTCGTCATTGGAATAACTACAATATCACTTTTTCTCAAATCGGTCTTGAGATAAAATTGATTGCAATATCAAATGAATAGTCAAAATATAAATGGTGTCAAACATAAATAAATATCATTGATTTGACACATTTTCTTTAATAAGAATTATAAATAAGGAATGATATTTAGTAAAATTAAAAGCATTTTAGAAATTTAACTTTTGACTTCAGTGCTTCTCATTCTTTATAAGTATTCCGAGTATCTGGACATGCACATCATGCGCGAATTCTATATCAATGAGCATGTTTTTTCTTAAATCAAATAATTATAACTGGAAAATCTTATCGCATTAGTTAGGGATTACTATAATACCTCCAACTAAAAACACTCATCTATATCTATATACAAAAATACCCGTTAAAACTCAACAACCACTCTTCTTTTAAAAAAAACAAACTACTCCTACACTCAACCAATGCTCCGTATGAATGTCAACACGCTTGATCCTTGAGACTAATAAAACCACCGCTTAGGAAAGGAACAAAAATCAATCAAATAAGTTTACACTTTCATTTTTCATGGTTAATCTTTCACCTAATCAAATACGTAATTTATTAAGCTTAATCAGAGTTTTACTTTCACCCTCCATCACATTTTGATAATATTTGTTCTCTCTTGAACTTGTATCTGCATATACATGTCGCATTGAGTATGTGTATGTTTGTTTTACTTGTACTATTTCTTAAAATTTGATGGTGATAATTACAATTGAGTGTACATATATAATTATATATGTATGTTGCGAAGTGATTAAGAAAAGAAAAAAGAGGACGATTTTCGTCAAAGTCTGAAGATTATTGTGCTAATACTAACATGAAGAAAGGACCAAGGTCACCTGAGGAAGAAATTAAGATAAAAAGACTATCTTTGAGATTTGAACTCTGACACTTGTAAGTGTATAAGATGAAGGTGCAAATTTAAAAATGGAAAAAATGAGGTTATAAAATTCTATAACAAGAGTAATCAACTTTGATAAGACAAGAATGGAAAGGCGTAATCGACAATCATTATGGCAGAAGAATATATCATAGATAAAGTTGATGAAAAAATGTCGTTTTCGACATCATCTATTAGAGCAATCAAAGTTCAATATGAGCTATATCAAAGATTATTTTATAATGTGATTGATGGAATACATATAACGTTAGTCGAAGAGTATGCCTTTTGACTTCATTCAATAAAGGGTCAAGTATGCTATATTCTATAATAAATGATATATGAAATACACATGCAATACAGGTAAAGAGAGACTAGTACATATAGAGAAAGAAGATCACATACGAGATAGTGAGCTTCCTTCAAGTCATAAGAAGGACCGATGGAAGCCATTACAAACTGGGGCCGAATCGGCCTAGCTAAAACCTTGTCAACAACCTCATCCACAGCATCCTGCACCAAATGTTCAATTTCAACCCAATAAACTTTTGTCATAAACTAAACAAGCTACTCCCATTGTCCAAAATTAGTTCTTCCATGAAGTTTTCAATAAATTACAGTCAATTTTAGTAAAAAAAAAATCATCATTTCTCATCAAAATTCAAATTCTTAAACATAAACCTTCAAATTCTTAAACATAAACCCTAACCTGAAGGATGAATCTTATACCTGAAGACAAGGATTGCAGGAAAGAGCAGAAGAAAGGTTTGGAAGAGTGAGAAAGCGATTGATGATGAGATTCCAACTACTGTTCACACATGCTGCTGATGCACATGATTCTGCTGATAACCGAAACAGAATGTTGTTAAGAAGGTCTTCTCCGATTGAATCAATCGTTGTCGGCTCCGGCACCGTTGCTGCTGCCGCCGGCACCGTCGCTGCAGCTGCTGCCGCCGCCGCCGTCAATTTCTGTCTTTGTTTGGGCGCCATTTTTCATAACTTAAAAGACCCACTATTTGCTTCTTTATATTTTTTTAATAGAAAAAGGATTAAAAATATTTCTAAATTATATATGTATATAAAAGAAAACCTTATGTCCATACGTGGCGTCATCATAAATTAGGATTTACTTTTTATTTATTTATTTTCACAAATCTTTTTTTTCTTTTTAATCTATTTATTTCTAAAACTAGTCTTTCCTTTCATTAAAAGCAGTGAGTTTTATAAAAACTTGTGACTTTTATGAAAAATTGTGATTTTTATGAAAAGTTGCGACTTCAATTAAGAGTTGCGACGTTTATGAAAAAGTTGTGACTTTTTCTAAGGGTTATAACTTTTCCAAATAGTTGTGATATTTTCGATAAGGCACAACAAACATTTTTACACACAATTAAATATTCGTGTACTTTGCTTCTGTTGAATATAAATAGAGAGATTCCTCTCATTTTAAAACAACGAAAATTCTGAACTTCTTATTCTTCTTCTTTTTCTTCTTCTTCTGCACAATTAAATATTCGTGTACTTTGCTTCTGTTGAGTTGCTCACTGACACCATTGCTTAAGTTACAGATCTTGATATTTTTTTTACAGTCATAAATTTATGCTCATGTTATTAAGGATAAATGATAAGATGTTATAATTTTCTATCACGATCCGAGTCTACACCCTGAACGTAGTCGGCACTCGAGAACTATTGTTGGTCCCCAAGCGAACCCTCATCCTAGCTGACTACAAGCGAAAGACTAACTCAAGCATACAAAGCTTAAAAACTGAATAAAAAATTCATGAAACTCAATTACAAAGCTTTAAACTCAAATGAAAAAACTCTAAATAAAAATAAATTATTCAACTCGCCATAAATAGGTAACTTAAGTCTTTAAAACATTTAACAAGATAAATGAAACAGACTTCTCAAACTCTATTGTCTATCTATGAAGCCTCTAAATGACAAGGATGGAAGTCGGGACAAGACCCACGATATCCTGACAAAACTGAAAAGTAAATGAAATCCTCCAGAAGCAAGAAGGCTCACCATAGCTAACTCGAACTCCATGTGGTATCAACGAAGCTCTTGTTAATGACCCTGAATACCTGTATCTGCATCATGAAACGATGCATGCCAAATAGCTTAGTACGTGGAATGTACGAGCATATAAGAGGAATTTTAAAGCATAAACATAAGTTTGAACTTGATAAAAAGGAAACATATTTACCTTCTCTCAACTCACTCGTGCTAAACCCAACTCAAGGATAAGAAACATAGTTCAACTCAATGATAAGATATTCAACTCAATGAAATAAGGCTCAACTCAATAATAAGATATTCGACTCTAGGTACTTAACTCTGGATACTCAACTCAATATAAAGCAACAATACATTTGCCATAAATGGAAAGCTTTTAAAACAGTAGAAAGCAACTCAGTTTGTATGCAAGGAACACCAAATAAACTCTGCTTGTATATGAAAATACAAAGTAAACTATGTGTATATAAGAATACAAAATATCTCTAGTGGGAGTTTCTCTAACCGACAACCATCACTATGAGCTATGTGATGATACATCGTCTCGCCCACGCTGCCAGAACTATCCTATAACTTGTCGGGATATAGAACGCCTCAACTAAGTGAATCCACTAGTCTATGCTAAAAATCATTAAGGAATCAACTAAAAAGTATGACCATTTATACCCACGTTGGCTACATGGTTTATGGAGACTTGAGTTATCTGAACTCATCCACATATCGGTGTTCAATACTACTCTCAAAATATAACTAGCTCATATGTTTGAAAACATAACTCTTTCTGAGGTTTGAGATTATTACTCAAAAACTAGCTTAAAAGCTCTCATGGAAATCGGTGTTTCCTCTCTTGTTTAAATGTGAAAACATTTACTCTTTGAGAATACTTAGTTCCCATATAATCTTTTGAAGAACTGAACTTAACTCTTGCTCTTACTCAACTCAATGCTCAAGTCTTTAAAACAAGTCTAAAACAATTGTAAAAGACTTCTCAAAATAAGGTTCATGCCGAATTATGGACGCGAACGACTCAATTCAAGGTTTTCAATAACCACATATAGAACTCAATACTCGAAACTCAAAAACTTCAATGATAATACTTACTCCCTCCGTCCCATTTTATGTGAGGTACTTTGACTCGGCACGGAGTTTAAGAAAAAAGGTAGACTTTTAAAACTTGTGGTCCAAAATGAATGATAGAAATTTGTGTGGCTGTAAATTATTTCAGTAAAGGTAAAATAGACATTTTATAGTTAAATTGTTACTTAATATAGAAATGTGTCATTCTTTTTGAGACTGACTAAAAAGGAAAGTAAGTCACATAAATTGGGACAGAGGGAGTATTTAAAGAATGCTCGACTCAAAGGGTTCATACGGAATTATGGGCATGAACTACTCACTCAAGAACTCAAAGATACTTCTCATCTGAAGACTACTCGACTTATAGGGTTCATGCGGAATTATGGGCATGAACTACTCAACTCAAGGACTTCATGGGTAACATGTAATAGTCCCATGATTAGGAATATAATCTCAAAAAAATGATTAGGAACTCGATACTCAAAACTTAAAACTTGAAGATACTACTCCTCTCAAAGATACTCAACTTATGGAGTTCATGCGAAATTTATGGGCATGAACGACTCGACTCGAGGGTCTACATAACAACATGGAACTCGTGTGATCGACTCTTCTCATTCTCATGCTTACTTCCTCAAAACTTAGTTCAAATTGATAATTGATCTCAAAGGATTCACAATTGAACTCAAAGATTTTCTTGAACTCTACTCTTAACTCTCTCTTGAATTTGAATTATGAATTCAATAGTTATGGTTTGTGATATGAAGGATCTCGTGATGACAAAGTAGGTTCATGAATACATTCTCCTCATTCTTATACTCACTTGCTCGAGTCTTGAAACAAGTTATTTGAATTTGTAAAAGACTCCTCAAAGGGACTATCTCAAAATGTTCGAAAGAACTCTTCAAGGCTTAACTCTTAACTCTACCTTGAATTTGAATCATTAATTCAAGGTTATTATTCATGTTCATGGATGATTTCTAGATGTTTAGAAGTCAGTTAGAGTAGTCAGAATCAATCGGAAGTGTTAGTACACTTTAAAAGAACTTAGATAGGCTAAACGACGAAAAAATGGTGGGGGCAGACGACCCGGGCGCGTTCCTAGCGCGGGGTGCCAGCCCCTAAGTTACTGGAACCCAATTATGGCACACCAGCCCTCCTGGTGTATCAGTGGCGCGTCGCGCCACCCCTTCCCCAGAACGACCCGACAAATTTTTCTTCTCGTTCTCTGATCCTAGATTGCATTTAATCGATTTCTTTTCTCAAGTTTTCCTCAAATTCAATTACCCAACCTAAGTACACACTAATCTACTCAAATCACTAACTTTCATCTCAAGAATTCATCAAAACTCCAACAAAACAAGATTTAGAATGAACTTCAAGAACTCGATTCCTTCAACTTTTGAGAATGAAATTACGCTGAAAATAATATGATTGGCGTGTGGGTGAATGAACCCAACACTATAGAAGCTTACATACCTCTTAGGGATCAAACTCATGGCAAAAATCCGCAACAAAACTCAAGATACTCGACAAACGCTTTGATCCTCTCCTATTTTCTCCTATTTTCTCTTCTTTTCTCTTCTTGAGCTCTCAACTAAAACCCTAGGTGTATATTAGGATTATAAAACTGAACCTAATATGATTAGACCCTTAAAACCTTACTAAAAATGAATTAAATCTGATTTGGTAAGGAAAAACCAAAATACCCCTTACTATTTCCGGGTAACTTTCCTTAACTGGACAACCTAACTTCAAAAGAGCATATCTCACTCATCGGACCTCGAAACTTAGCAAACTCGGTGGCGTTGTAAAGATAATTCAAAGACCTTTCATTTCCATCTTGTATATCACCTAAATCATCTTGTACCAGGAGTTATGGTCATTTGAAGTTGACCCAAAATTCATAACTTAAGCATAACTTGCAAAATTTCAGAATTTTGCTATTTCCAATTTAGTTCTTTTGGAACTCAAGGTTTCACATCTAGTGACCTTAACACTTAAGAAAATTTTAAATTCCTCGGTAAAATCCTACTCACAACGAAGGATGGTTCGAGTCTTAACTCAAAATTTTCCGGGGTGTTACATTTTCATTTTCCTTTACATTATTAATGTTTGTTACTATGTAATCTTGTATGTAAAATAATATAGTGTTTTAATTTTAATGACCGGTAGGCTTTAAGTATTATTTTATAAATTTCGTGATATTAAATTTCCGCGCGAAACGCGGGTAAATATACTAGCTCCTTTAATATATTAGGTTTATGCTCCATTATACTAAGCAACTATTTATATTCATGCTATCTATAAACTTGTCACTTGTACTCCTACTCGAACGAATACCCTTTAATTAACCTGAATTTCTTTGAAATTACTCATTTTCAAATTGAAACTCATGACCGACCCTCTGTCTATCTTAACCCAAACAAATTTAACTTATTTCCCATATGTTAAAGGTCTTTTGGAAATGGGCTAAATTTGTTTGGATTAAGATAGATAGATGATCATACATGTGTTTCAATTTTGAAATGAGTTGTTTTTAAGATATTTGGGGTTAATTTGGGTTGATTTGAGGTTTTCGTCCAAATAGGGGGTATGGGTGACAAGTGACAAGTCTGCTTAAGACGGGATATAAATAGTCACATGGTGTAATGGAGGGTAAATCTAACTATTAAATAAAGGGAAAAAGGACGAATTTACCCCCGAACTTTGATAAATGGTACGTCTATGCCCTCCGTTATACTTTGCGTCCACATAAGCCCCTGCCGTCCAATTTTCGGTACACACATGCCCCTCTCACTAACGGACCCCTCATTTTGTACACGTGTTTTAATCCTAATCAACTACCCGTTTGACCATTCTTTTAACCCATAAACCCACAACCTGCCCCA